GTGGGGTTGACAGGGATAAGTGAAACCGCCCACCATAATCGGAGGTGCGGTTTGTTCGTGGATACAGTGTGTGAATGTATTCGAAGTTACATCAGGCTTCTGAATGATACTGAAGTTGGTTCGATCGCACTGGGTAAAACGCCGCGAATCACAGCTAACCGCTGAGAGATCAAAATGCGTTTTGTACGAAAATATCTTATCTAATCCACTCAGTGGGTGGCAACTAGGAAAATAGTTCCGATGTATATCTATAGGATCGTGTCTCACTACCTAAGCGCTTCTACCAAGATATGTAGTGCAACGTAAGAACATACGAGTAGAAACAGCCTTTTTGTCCCAACTAGCTCTCCTCATGGAGCCTGTCTAACAAGGTTTCACCCTCACTAGGACCAAAGTCAGATATAGCAATGCATAAACATGACCATTAGGTCAAGGCAGCAGAATAGATCAGGAGACGACATTCGGACAGAGTATAATAACTGTTATAAGAAAGTTGAGATACCACTCACGTTCTGGTAGTTAAACCCGAATGAAAGTGGAAGGTATGTTACAACTTTTTGTACCTCGTTCGGACTTTACTGTTGGCTTCGCTTACCGCTTAGACCGAAGGTTTCCAGCGAACGTTTGCACAAAAGCACTTGACAAACTCAAATGCGACTGACCGTATTAGACTATGCACCATCGCATTAAACTGGCGACAACCAAAAGAACTATAGCACGGCAGTTCTTCAGTAATGTGCCTACTACAGGATTTGCTTAGCGTACGACAAAAAATTGAGTAGTGCATGTAATCAATGATGATTCAGATCAGGTGAAAGCTGATCCGGAAGAAAATCACGGCAGTAGAAACATTACCAATCCACGAAGATAGAGGCAGTATCATATCTAAACGGTATTGTTAGATACTTCAGTCATTTCCATCCAAATTCGGGTACCTTGTAACCGATTCGTTGTTTGACATATAAAACTGCGCCTTAGCGATGGGGCATAGTTCAGCAAACCGAGCACACAATACAAAATAGCTGCGACGGGATCTCTTCTGTTGGCTTGCCACGGTCACAATTTACTCGTGATGGTTCAGAATGATGGCTCCTAAATGGACCTCCGGGTAGTGTCGTTAAAACAAAGAAACCACCAAGGCCATGCCATAGAAAATCAGAGTTATCAACAAATCAAAAAAGAATCGCTGGTCAAAGCTTTTGCTGTGAAACGTTCAAGTAACACACACTTTCGAAGAGAAATAAATAGTGTTAATACTAATAAGTAGTTTGGCAGATTTGTTTTTAGATGAGACCCAATTGTGAAAAGTCAGGGCTTCGGCTGGATTCGAACCAGCGACAGAAACACCATGCCTAAACGCGACAAGCTGAGCTACGAAGCCACGCCAGGAGCTCGGAAATTTCACATTTGGACTCGGTTACCCACCCGTCCCACTGTCTCATATGGAATCCACCAAATGATCCAGGGGATCGACTGCCCCGGCAGGATTTCTCGAACAGTTCACGCTGGAATCCACCAACGCCACTGTTGAGCATGGCGTGGCTGGCTTTGTAGGGCGCTTGCCGCGTTTGGGCATGGTGTTTCTGTCGCTGGTTCGAATCCAGCCGAAATCCCTGACTTTTCACAAGTTGGGTCTCATGTAAAATAGCGTTAACGGAGTACAAATCACTAACGCCTATGATGACCAAACTTTCGAGTGATTCTTTGAACTATCTTCGCACAATGACTTGTGTGAACCTGACTGTCCTTGATTTTAAATCGTCACTCACTGACTAGAACGGAATACCAGAAAGTGTACGCAGTCAGAACTCAAGACAGTAAACTCCAAGGATCCGATCGCTGAGAAGCTGGCAGAAAAGATCAAGAAACGCTGGCCACGGACAAAAAAGATGTGCGTTCACGACTGGCAGTTTACTTTTATGGTGGTGAATAAGTTGCCATCGAAGACAGCATTCTGTTCAAAGATCGTCTGATGAACACGAAAAGTCTGGAAAATTTAAATGTCAATACCACAGCAGACGTTGATAACCTATTACGTGCATAACTATTTCCGGAAAGAATCCCGAGAAACGCTACCAGGACAACGGGCCTCAGTTTACAAATTTTCAGTGTCTGAGAAACGCCGGAAGGTACGGTTTACAGTACTTCATCGTCAGTCCATATTGTAGCCAGTTCAATGATACAGCGGAGCTAACGGTCAAAATCACAATGAATATCCTGAAAATCCTCAAAACAGATAGAATCCGTAATTCATGTTGCTAGGGCAGCGTAGTATGCCATCGGCAGCCATCAACTGCATTTTAGTACAGCGGGAGGATGTAAACCTTAGGTACTAGTTATTCAAACAACTCTGCTGCCGAGAACATCTGAATAACCACAAGTCGAAGAGCAGTCATACGGAACGAGAATGAACCGGAGGCAACTTTACGACTGCCGTGTACACGATCGGTCGAAGCTACACATAGAGTGAAAAGTGTGGGTTCTTAACACTAAACACAATTCACAGCTGTTCTGAACATAAAAATCCAATTGATGTAATCGGACTGCGACCGCCTCGGCTATAGACAGGATGCGCCACTTGATCTTTCGTGACACGGCGGCCGGGGCACGGTAGACGATGCGAAACGCCCTATCCGTGTCTGTGTGTCGGTCACAGTCAACCAGGTGGGCCAGAATGGATGAGTTAATGTTCTTTGTTATTCCTTAGACTGTTCCTATGGTTCAGCATATATTGGTCGCACCACTAGGCGTTTATCGGAAAGAATTCGTGAACACTGCCCAACGTGGCTTCGCTCCGGAATAACAAAGAACATTAACTCATCCATTCTGGCCCACCTGGTTGACTGTGACCGACACACAGACACGGATAGAGGCGTTTCGCATCGTCTACCGTGCCCCGGCCGCCGTGTCACGAAAGATCAAGTGGCGCATCCTGTCTATAGCCGAGGCGGTCGCAATCCGATTACGTCAACCGGATTTGTGTTCAAAAACAGTTCGTTCACACCTTGGGATTACCATGACCAAACACGTACAATCCATAACAATGCATTAAATGTGGTGATCACTGATCCGGATTCCGACGGAGTCGACAGTGGGAAGTGCAATCGAGAGAAATTGTACCAACTTTAAAAAACCTAAGGTGACCAATCAAAAAACGAATCCGGGAGAGAGAACAGAACGAGCATACAAAAAAGAGGGGGACGTGGAAGAATTGCGTAGAATCGCAAGCAGTGTCAATCGATGCGCGCTTGTTTACCAGTGAATCTAACAAACCATTGTAAACTCACTTCATTAGCACACAATGGTCAGTCAGACAGGATATCAATAACAGACCATAACAGTGTGTTAAAGCCGGACAGTCAACCAACGGAATACCAGCTAAAGCAAACACCCTCGGAAAAATACAACTACAATCAAGGGCCATTGTCAATACAAACCACCTAATGAGGAGCAGGTAAACATGACCAGTCAACAAACAAGACGTGGAGCAAAACTGGCAGTGTCCACCTTATTCCAATTGTATAAGCCCCCGCGTTCTTCTAACAAATGTGATCGTTCAGATCAGAGTGAGCTGCTGTTCTTCTCGATATTTTCACATCGACCAGCTTCCACATGTTCATATCATCATAATGCTGCTTGTTCCAATAGTATGCTTCATACTCTTAGCAAAACGCGCGAATAGCTGTAAAGGTTTGGACGAGTAGGTGATAAGCACATCCCAAGAAATTTCAAAAAAATTTTGTGCAGCTTGTAATAAATGACTGCGCAAGACAGCTGGAAGAAGTGACGCGTAAAATACACAGAGGTATAGTGCGTTCAAAATTTCGGACAGTTTACAAACGACATGCAATCCCGAAATATTTGAGATGACTTACTGTTTCGTCGGCATCTTTTTGATTCCACTGAGGATTCAACAGGCCGACCCGAGCGCTTAGGCCAGTGTTGATTGTGTACCTTCAAAGTTATTAGTTAAACGACAGAGGATACTCACTTTACACTGTCTTCAGTCATAGGGATTCCATTATCAACGGCATCCAACTCAACAATGAATCTACCATAAATCTGTAGTAATCGGAATAAGCCAAAAAGAAAAGCTAGTAAAACCTTATTAAATAAAACAGAAATCATGGGATGCGATTCTTGAACACCAACAACATTAGCCAATATCTGTGGTCCGAAATGCACATACACTAGACCAGCGCTGCTGAGCTTTATGTTCCATTCGGAATCTTTGAAAAAACTTTTAAAAGTCAACTCAAAGCCTCTAAAAACAATGAATCATAAAAACAATAGCAAAACACACCAACCGTTGATGATGATCATATCTGTGTGTGACTGGATCAAATACACCACCAACATCAACAACAACTGTGCATGTGGACAACATGGACTGATCTCGCGAACGAACTATTTCTGCGTTAGCATATTCAGGTAACTGTTTCAACATAGCACAAGCAACCAGTTCGTCCGCATGAAATTTTCCGTTGTGCGTGCCGATACGTAGTTTCGCATAACTATTGCTCGGCATTTTCTAACAGGAAAAAGAACAGTTGAGTGTAACAATAAATGGACCAATATGATAGAACGAAAACTTACTTACAAGTGTGCAAACAAGACAATACAGAAGGTCACACCTACATCCGCCAGATACGGAACATTTACATACGAATGGCCAAGAACATGAACAGACGGTACTGCAGCTAGAGCATCCGATCGCCACAAGTGACAAGAAACTGCTTGTATGAATAACGGTCAAACTGTCATTGTGACACTAAGTAAACAGAATTGAAAACTGCTGATAAGTCTACAAAGAGCTGAGTGATAGGGGACGAACACAACTCACGCCAGATTGCAGCTTTCGGATTAAAACAAAAGTTTGAGCCATCCTCTTTTGAAACAAAATGAACAGGCCAAAATAACTTGGGATGAACTAGTGTAAGTCTCCACCAATAAGACCTTAACAAACAATTTATCACTTTCCGCTTATAAACATCGGATGGTGGGCTGTAATGCAATTAAATGAGTCACACTGGAACTGCACACCGTCAGCATTTCAAAAACTAGAGAATACCAGTCAAGAAAATCGAATTTCAATTTACGACGTTAAGTTTCGTAACAGCCGACGTCGTCAGAGAGCTTCCTATAGAACAATAAATCGAAGGTTCCTAATAAAACGTCGTCAGCACAGGAAAACCGCACCGAACATTTCTACAAGCACCATTACTATGAATATAAATGCGAAGTCAAGCATTTTTAGTTATTTTTCATAGTGGTCCAAACAAGATGGTGAGTTGATAGAACATCATACAACAATGTAATTGAAACTTACAGACACGTACCACATGACTATACGCATTGAAGACATCGGTCAGATAAAAAGTACACTTCAGAAAAAGTCGGCGACCTAAGACACGTTGACAAGGCCGGGTGAACAATGTTGCGTAACACGACACCACTTTGAACATCACAACCTAGTACATAAAGTAAACGGATTTGAAACAACATATACCACTTGATGTCCGCAACCCGAAAGGACATGCATGAAAAAAGTGCTAAACATTTAACCAACACCCAAGAGCAGTGTTCGGTAAGTAGTAGTCGCATCCAGAACTCAGATTACTACGGTCAACAAGTGCCTCATTTGTTCTTTATATCGCTCGGTAAAATAAGTGAAGTCAGGTGAATCTCAAAGTGTAATGGTGCATATTATTATTATTATTATTATCATCCACAAGAAAGACACCCTATACACATGTCTGCTCACGCTACTTACTGCGATGAGCTGAAATAAAACAGCTTTGATCAATACTGACTTGCGTTCATGAATAGACGTATTGATTATTCTTTCCATTTTTTGTTTTAGCTATTATATATTGAATAATCCCTGAATCAGGACATCTAACTCTATTCTTTTGTCCGAATGGTGTGTACTTTATGAATTATCCACTATACAGCCAACTGCAACGTACAGCCATTGGTAACCCGAACGGTTGTGAGCAGATCGTCACTAGTTATAAACAAAATGGATTCATATAGTTGTCAATTTTTTTTAGCGTCCATCGGATCCTATGGACTGGATAAAATAAATGACCTGCATGGTCGTTCCTGTATAATTAAGCTACTACGAGCGAACAAGCATTAGGTTGAAATCAAGATTGGAATTAGGTAGAACATTTGGCCTAAATTATTTGGTGAAAGTGAATGGGACAAAAGAGTTTATCTGGATTCCATTCTGGATCAGCTTATTTTTTAGTGTTTAGCAATGACCTTACAATTGCCTACTGAACATGTTTGGTGCAAGCGGAATCATCTCAAGGTCTCGTGCACCACTAAATCGACAGTCTGAAATACTCTACAAAGGCTCAATAGAGTGAGTCCCCA